CGTGTGCCCCTCACATAGGTCAGCTGAATGTCCCCCCTTTACTCGTGTGCCCCTCACATAGGTCAGCTGAATGTCCCCCCCTCTGTACTCGTGTGAATAGTTTTCCTTTTTCTTCTCACACGGGAATGGCTAAGCAACTCCGAGCTGGGCATTTGATAGGCTGTCCTTCCAGAATTAGTGAAGTTGAGGTGCCAGCAGCAACTCAGAAATTGTTGTGGTCGTGCTTGGGGGAAACAGAGCTGTGTACTCAGGTGATGAGAGGAGACCTCAGAGGTGATGGGGTGCAGCTGCTGAGGCCAGTGCCTTTCCCCCTGCCCCACGCCGGCTCGTACCTCCAGTGGAACTTGGCTGGGGGCTCCTTTCATTCTTTGCAACTTCAGTTGTTAGAAAGCCTCTCTGTATTTAGGTGGCGTCTGCAACACGTACCGCTGGTCTGACTTTTGTTAGGCCCGTTAATAGTGTGCATGTGACAGCCTTTCAGGTACACATGCTGCTCGACTTAGGATGGGGTTGCAGCCCAGTAAACACATCGTTAAACCTTAAGTTGAACCATCCTAGGTTGGAGACCATCTGTATTTGAAAAATGTCCCTTTGCCTTCCGTGTAAGAGTTCTGGTTTTCTAGGTGAGAAATCTGTGTGTGTGTGTGTGTGTGTGTGTGTGTGTGTGTGTGTGTGTGTGAGTGTGTGAGATGACTCTGCCCAAAGGAGCTGTGGCTGTGGGTTCTTTTCCCCACCTGTCTTTGACAGTGAATTGCTTTGTCCATATTCCCCTTAAGAAGTGACATCCAGGTTGGATTGTGGTCTCCTGTGTGTAGCGTCCCAAATTGCCATTACCATAGGTTCGTGCTTGTTTTGACACAGCCACGATCACGACCCCCTCAGGTATCAATTCTGAGACCTTCCCATGCCTGCTGCCACTCAGCAAGTGTTCCTCATGTGCCCTGGTAGTTGGTATTGTAAGGAGCAGCAAGGCTGTTATGGACTGTTGCTAGTCACTGAAGAGCAGTGAATAATACTAAGGATTACAGCAGATAATGTGCACGGTATAATCGAGTCCAGCATTCTAAAAATGATTCTACACTTTTACTTTGAAAAACTGGATTTGACTGGATTGTAGAATCCAGGTGAAAGTGATAGGATTTGGTTTTGCAAAGAGCATAGTTTGTTGTCAGTGTTTTTGGTGACATGATGACTGATCACATCCACAGTCTGTTGTTAACAGCCATGGTTTACAGTGTGAGGGAGTGTTAGATTACCAGGCAAAGATGGTAATAAATATCAGACCCACAGATATTCACATGCACCCTACCAATGGCAATAGATATAGATAGGATTATCCCATAGTCAAAAGATTACCAAAGTGTTGTGTGGTAAAGAACATTGCTGTCTTGAGTATTTTTACTTGGCATGGTATTAGAAACACAGGCTTTTTGCTGTACAGCCCTGGGTTTGAATCCAGTGCCCTCCTCACAAACTGTGTGATCGTGAACAAATGAACCGACCAGCTCCAGTTTGCCCCTTAGTGCTGCGATGTGTGAATGAGGCCGTGACGGAGAGGTGGGTCCTAGAAAACACTTGCCAGCTGTTTTTACTAAGAAGCCGTCTGAACTTTCAAATTAAGGCAGAGTTCAAAATAAATGATAGTGACTTAGTAGAAAATGAAAGTGAGACCTATCCAACATACAGTTTGTGGATACCTTCTAAAGATGTGGTATTGAGATAGGATGATAGAACGTTATATACAGGCTTCTGGGTGAAGAGGTGGCTTTCACTGAGCAGGGTATGTGATTTCCAGCTCGTTTCCTAAATAGATCCTTAAGCATCCAAACACCTGATTCCGCTTTTAACCACTGACCTAAATTTTAAGATGACTGTGCTAGGCTATGGGTGTAGCCTCAGAACTCAGTGGCTTATCCAGGATTAAACTCGACCTCATTAGGACTTAACTCCTCTAAGTCTAAGTCAACTGGCTATGGACCATAATCCAACAAGGGCTCCAAAACAATTCAAAAAATTCAAAAAGGGTGTGAAAGTTTAATGACTGGACCATCCTATTGATTTGCAAAATCTGGGGTCTGTTGGGGGGAAATAGGGAAGGGACAGTGGGGGGTGGGGAGTTGAGGAGAGAGAGCATGGGGAGAAATGCCAGATATAGGTGATGGGGAGGAAGGCAGCAAATCACACTGCGACGGGTGTACCTATGCAGCAATCTTGCATGTTCTTCACATGTACCCCAAAACCTAAAATGCAATAAAATAAATTAAAAAAAAATTTTAATTAGGAATAAGAAAAAAATAAGTTTTAAACCAAAAAAAAAAAAAAAACCCTAACATTTAGCTCTAAAATCTTGATTATGAAGACTGAGTATTCCACCATAAAAACAGAAGATAATTTGTGTTAAGCCATACCCTTCACACTTTTTGTTCACTTGCAAGAAACTATGTGATTATTTTCACTCCTGGGAAAACCTCTCCCACCACTGTCACCAGTTGTGTACATGGGTGTGTATGAAATCTGCCCGCTGCCCCCTCAGCACCCGCCAGTATTTCTTTATTATCCTCATCCCACTGTTAGAAATCCAGAAGAATGTGAGGAGGAAAGCAAGAATGAACTTCATCATAATTATAACAGGTTTTTAAAAAGGTTGTGTTCATGGAAATGTCTTCATGAGGTCTGGTGGTCTTCTTCCCCAACAATCTGTATCTGGCGTTTTGTAAAGCATTACCATTTTATGTGAAGTTAAAGCTTTGAAAAAGTTACATGGGGTAAGTATAAAATTGGAAAGGATATTTTTGTAGCTTTAAGAAGAGTAAGACTTCTCCACGTGAAAGAATGTTTTCATGTGAATTAGGTGAAGCTACACTGTATATTTTAATAGTTAGGCTCAGAGGTGACACCTGCTGCACTTTTTCTTCTTGAAGGCAGCTTGGGAGAAGGTAAGACAAGTAGTTGTTATTTTTAAAGAGCTGGGAAAGCTGCATATCATGCAATTGAGAAGGGGCTATAGGAAGTTCTGGTAGTGCCCCCCCTCCTACACTTAAACCTGAGCCAGGAAGCTGATTTTGCATTTGTTAGAAGAAGGTATTTGTCATAGTATGTTGTATTTGGGAAGAGTGTTTTCTTGATGTTTTGTCTAAAATTTGAACATCAAAATATCCAAATCAACAGGTCGAATGGATTGCTTGACTTGGGTGGGTACTTTTGTGTATGTTAGGGATGTAGAGTTCCCAGATGCAATATAGGACACCACTAAATTTTCTTTTTCTTTGTTTTTTTTTTTTTTTTTTTTTTGAGACAGAGTCTTGCTCTGTTGCCCAGGCTAGAGTGCAGTGGCACAATCTCTGCTCGCTGCAACCTCCGCCTCCCGGGTTCAAGCAATTCTTCTGCCTCAGCCTCACAAGTAGCTGGGATTACAGGCATGCGTCACCACGCCTGGCTAATTTTTGTGTTTTTAGTAGAGATGGGGTTTCACCATGTTGGCCAGGCTGGTCTTGAACTCCAGACCTCAGGTGATCCGCCTGGCTTGGCCTCCCAAAGTGCTGGGATTGTAGGCATGAGCTCCTGCTCCCGGCCTAAATTAGAATTTCAAATAAACATCAAACAATTTTTAGTATTGTTTACTTGAATTTTCAATTGAACTGAGATTTTTTTTTCTTCTAAGTCTGGCAACTCTGGGTGGTGGTGAGGTGGGTGTTGACAAAAGATTATTATTTTCAGAAATCAGCATTTGAAATTGGTATCTGTTTAGAACTTTTATTGTTCTGCTCTTACCTTTAACATAAATAGCTCTTTTTAAAAATTTTTGATTATAGTATTGCCTAAGTGTAATCTTGAACATGGGCGGTGCTGTGAGTGCTGGTGAAGACAATGATGAGCTGATAGATAATTTGAAAGAAGCACAGTATATCCGGACTGAACTGGTAGAGCAGGCTTTCCGAGCTGTCGATCGTGCTGACTATTATCTTGAAGAATTTAAAGAAAATGCTTATAAAGACTTGGCATGGAAGCATGGAAACATTCACCTCTCAGCCCCGTGCATCTACTCGGAGGTGATGGAAGCCCTAGATCTGCAGCCTGGACTCTCATTTCTGAACCTGGGCAGTGGTACTGGGTACCTCAGCTCCATGGTGGGCCTCATTCTGGGTAAGTGTGGAAGGAGAGTCTGAAAACTCATCTGTTTCAGGGACGGAGGCATCTCCTTTGACAGAAAATGTAGTCTGCTGATGGCCCACCTGGGTGGAGACCACAGCCTTCCCAGTAGTTACCTGACGTTGACACATCACTGGGTGGTGGATAGAGCGAGGAGGGAGGAAGGCCTGCATGGCTCTCTTGGGCCCCAGGTTCTCCAGAGGGACCCCTCTTGTTCCCTGTCCCCTCTGCCTGAACTTCCCACAGTCTGTACTGTGCACCTACCCTCTGGACAGTGGAGAACAAAGACCGTTGTGTAAATCTTGACCCCCCTATGATTTCTTGATTTAATTTAATCAGTCTCCCTTGTCACTCTTTCTCTAAACCAATGATAATTAACTTTAAAGTCCTTCTGGAGTTAAAGTACTTCTTTTTTTTGTTTTGTTTTTTCATTTTTGCCAGATATTTTTATTAGAATTACATAGTAACCATTAAAATGGGTTTGCATTTTCTTCAGGAACATTAATTTTTGGATTAAATAAAATACATGGTCTTATTTTAAATCGGGTTCGTTTTGTACAATACACCAATTTTTAAATGAGCTGCCCTACACTTAATGTCATTAGTAAACAATGCACTGAGTCACACAGGAATACTGGCCTCATGCATTGAAAACACTTCAGCATCTTGTTATGCCAGCCAGACCCCTGTACAGTGATGTAAACTAATAATGGTCACTTACATAACTGAAAGAATATAGAAATACAGGTTTTCAAGAACACACACTTACTGTCATCTAGCCTCTCAAGGACAATGTCAAAATAGTAATTGTTATCTTTATACATTTACTCTATTTGGCATTTTCCCGGGAAGACTGAGAAACTGATTGCTATCCACATTTCTACAGAATTCCATGGGAAGTCTACCGAATGAGATTTTCCAGGTTCTTAGCTCTTGACCTTTATTAAGATATGTCATATGACTTACCAAAGGTCACGTCTGTTATGATGGGGCTGACTGTCTACAATATTAACATCATCTAATTATCAACAGCCAATGATTAAGAATTTACAAGGCAATATAGTAAATCCTTCACATGCTTAATCTCTATAAATATTCATAAACGCCCTTCAGTAGATTCTACTTCTATTTCATTTCTTTATTTGACAGGAAAAGAACCTGAAACTATAATCCCAGCTAGGGAGACTGAGGCAGGAAACTGCTTGAACCAGAGGTGAAGGTTGCAGTGAGCTGAGATCACGCCACTGCACTCCAGCCCAGCCAGCTAGTGAGCTATTTTTTCAAAAATATCCTGGCAGTTTTCAATCAAGATGATGTATTCCAAGAAAAGTATTTAGTATCTTGCCCATCTACGTCTGTGGGGCCAACACTCTGAAGTGATATGGGGGTGTTGGTCCAAGGGGGGACCCCATCGCGGGCGGCAGGAGGCCTCGCCTGACTAGGCAGCCTCGAACCCTGACACCCGCTCCAGCACCCTGGCAGCCCCTCCTGGGTGGGTCGGTGGGGTTAAAGTACTTCTAAGCAGTTTTTGTCGTGTTGGGTTCTGTTTTTGTTTTTGTTTTGACTGAGTCTTGCTCTATGGTCTAGGCTGGATTGCCGTGATGTGAGCAAGGCTTACTGCAGCCTTGACCTCCTGGGCTCTAGCAATCCTCCTGAGTACCTAGGGCCACAGGCACACACCATCATGCTTGGCTAATTTTTAAATTGTGTTTAGAGACGGGGTCTCGCCATGTTTCCCAGGCTGGCCTCAAACTCCTGGGTGCAAGCTGTCCACCTGCCTCAGCCTCCCAAAGTGCTGGGATTACAGGCATGAACCATCATGCATGGCCTGCTTTGTTGTTTTAATAGTAAGAGTAATACCTGTAGATTTTAAAATTAATTTCAGAGATGGAAGGGATTTCATAGGTTATATGATTTGAAGCTATTTAGCCTATTTTCCCAAACAAATGAGTTGTGAGGGAATTCTGCACATGGGAATATTGGCTATTTTTAACAATTACAGTATCAAACAACTGAGGAAAAATGTCACTTGGTGCAAAATGGAACAGCTGGGGAAAGGCATCCGTTTTTAACTCAGTAAGATGGAATGGTTTTGCCAGAGCAGTGATAGGAGCCGATTTATACTGTACAACCTTGCTCTAAAGAGGAAGCAGGGGCCAGGCTGCTGTGGCAAGCTGGGTAAGAGATACTGGATGAAACCAGTGCAGAGAAGCTGGAGTCTATATTGTTTTCAAATCCTGTTAGAACTGCCAGGATTTATGGATGGACTATATATGGTTGTGAAGGAAACATCAAGAATGTGGCTGGGCTTGGTGGTTCATGCCTGTAATCCCAGCCCTTTGGGAGGCCGAGGCTGGAGGGTTGCTTAAACCCAGGAGTTCAAGACTGCAGTGAGCTATGATTGCACCAGTGCACTCCAGCCTAGGTGGATGTGGAATGAGAATTTGGGTTTCTTTATAAGTTTGTATAAATTGGAATTTGGTGAAGTTTTGGGACTGATTATTTGGCTTTTGGCTGTAGATTGCCACCTTCAGATATAACAGTGTGTAGATTTTTGTAATGCTTTTTGACCTTAATTTCTCTTCAATTGAGACTGTTGTGGCCCCTGTGCTTTCAGAAGACAACACAGTGCTCAGATTATTTATCATTTTTGAATTTGGGAACTGTGATTTCCTCCATTGTAGCCGAAAAATTGGAACTAAGGTAGAATCTTGGGGAGAAATAGGTGATCAAGCTGACTCAATTAGAAATGCTATTGAAAAGAGCCAAAATGCTTAGGAAAAGATGACTTAAAGTAATCCTGAAGTGGCCAGGCACAGAGGCTCACACGCCCATAATCTCAGCACTTTGTGAGGCCAAGGCTGGCAGATCACTTGAGGTCAGGAGTTTGAGACCAACCTGGCCGACATGGTGAAACCCTGTCTCTACCAAAAATATAAAAATTTAGCCGGGTGTGGTGGTGCATGCCTATAATCCCAGCTACTTGGGAGGCTGAGGCAGGTGAGTCACTTGAACCCAGGAGATGGAGTCTGCAGTGAGCAGAGATCGTGCCACTGCACTCCAGCCTGGGTGACAGAACAAGACTCCATCTCAAAAAAAAAAAAAAAAAAAAAAAAGTAGGCCTGAACGGGCTTTGCTGTACTTGGCGTCCTCTAGAAGTTATAAAGAGAGGCCTTCCGGGCCGGGCGCGGTGGCTCAAGCCTGTAATCCCAGCACTGTGGGAGGCCGAGGCGGGTGGATCACGAGGTCAAGAGATCGAGACCATCCTGGTCAACATGGTGAAACCCCGTCTCTACTAAAAATACAAAAAATTAGCTGGGCATGGTGGTGCGTGCCTGTAATCCCAGCGACTCAGGAGGCTGAGGCAGGAGAATTGCCTGAACCCGGGAGGCGGAGGTTGCGGTGAGCTGAGATCGCGCCATTGCACTCCAGCCTGGGGAACAAGAGTGAAACTCCGTCTCAAAAAAAAAAAAAAAAAAAAAAAGAGAGGCCTTCCAACTTGATGTTATTGCTTCTCTTTTCTGAATCCCCTGTTTACTGGGAATTTTACTGGATTTCGGGAGGAGAGAGGTCTGAAGGAAGGAAAGGCCTGTTCTCTGCTGTAATGGATGTGACATGCTGCTTTGACGCAGCTGAAGGAAGTGACTTTAGGGTGTTGCTGTCATGGACGCGTATCTCGGCTGTGCCTCCAGACGCTGCAGCTTATTCAGCCTTAACAGCATTTTGTGCAAAGCACTCCAGAGTGAAACCTCATCGGCTTCCCGGTGCCTGTGAACGTGAATCTCTTATCTGCCAGTTTCTTACTGCGAACCCACTGCCTTTCACAAGGTCTGAGCTGCATCCTGGGTCAGCCATGTTCCTGTGCTTGCTCTGTGGGCTCCTCTCCGCTTTGCTCAAGGCTGTCCCTACCTTTGTTTGTCATCAGCCAGGGGAGAATACAATAGCTACTTAAGAGATGGGGACTCAGGCTGGGCGTGGTGGCTCAGGCCTGTAATCCCAGCACTTTGGGAGGCCGAGGTGGGTGGATCATCTGAGGTCACGAGTTCGAGACCAGCCTGGCCAACATGGTGAAACCCTGTCTGTACTAAAAATATAAAAATTAGCTGGATGCAGTGGCCAACTACTTGTGAGGCTGAGGCAGGAGAACTGCTTGAATCCAGGAGGTGGAGGTTGCTGTGAGCCAAGATCGTGCCATTGCACTCCAGCCTGGGCAACAGAGTGAGATAGTCTGTCTCAAAAAAAAAAAAAAAAAAAGGTGACTCATAAGTAACCTACGTGAAAACTGCTGTGTGATCAGGAAGCAGGGCATACCTGGGAGTGGCTTTCCCAGGGGGGTCTTGCAGATCTGGCTTCAGTGCTGTGTCCCAGGTGCCGTGTGGCTAACACCTCCCGGCCACCCTGTGTCCTCCTTCCCCCGCTAGTCATCTTTTTATTAAGCAGGTGGGTGGAGGGGTTTGTGTTACTATTATTTGGTGTTAAGCCTCTTGGGAATAGGAACCGTATCTCATATTTGTTATTAGAATTAACTGCTTATTAAGTATTTGATAATGATGGTGAGGGGTCAGTGAAAATAAGATGAGTGTGAAAAATCAAGCAGCTTTTTTTGGTCTCTGGCATAGTGACAGAGTCATGGGAATTGAAGTCAGAGAGTTGGCAGAAGGTCTTGAAGTTCAGAGTAATTCAGGATTTGATGTTGTAAATAGTGAAAAGATGGACTCTCAGGTAGGGTGTATTTTGATGAGGTAATGTTTTAGCAGCAGCTCTGTGTATGAAATACGGTGAGAGAAAAGAGCAGCAGGTACAGCTGTCCAAACGGGAGCCAGAGAAGCCTTGTCCTGGGCGGGTGGCTGTTGTACCAGGAAGACCCATGCGGCAAGATGCAAAGGTGTGGGATGCACAGAAGGTTGTTCATGTATCAGCATTTCTGCTAGATTATAGATCACTGTGGTGTATCTGTCTACTACATGAAGTCCTGCATGCCCTGTCAATTTTTACATGTAGATTTAAAAAATTAAAGGTAAATGAATAAGCGTGAAGTGTGAATTCTGGTGGACTTTTACGTATGCATCCATCTCCATATAAACTCCACCCAGAACAAGATGCAGAGTAGAAACAGCACCCCAGGAAGGCTCCACTGCCTTCTCCTCCTTCTGGAAAGGTTACCACTGTTGTACTCCCCTTCCAGAAAGCTGATGACTGTTTTGCCTTCTCAGCACAAATGAATTTTGCCTGATTTCTACCTTTGTGTAAGTGGATTCCCACAACAGAGAGACTCATCTATGCTGAGTGTCAGTACTTTGTTCTCACTTAACATAGGGGCAGTTTTATATGGAGGGAGCACTTTCATCATTAAGTAGACTTGTAACATTTCTCACTTGTATTTCAAATTACTGGTAAATATCCTTTGATGTAAAACATGTTTTATTGTGACTTGGAAGCATAGTTTTATTTTAAAGACGATGATTGAACCCTGTTTTGTGAATATTAAAATGTATACATCTGAGTGTTTTGGGGAACCTTTCAGGGAAAACAGAATCATCTTCAATGTTACCTCTGAATAAACAGGTGAGGCCTATGTCCGTTTCGCTTGCAAATACATGTTTCTTCTTTAATTCATTAGTTAGACTTGAGCAGTTGTTTTTTTCCATTTTCAAATGATTCTTTAAAAGTTTGAGGGTAGAGAAGCCCAGGCATCAGAACAAGTATTTATGATGTGGTGAGCCGTGGTAATGTGATGAGACCTCAAAACTTTGTGAATTTCTGTAATTATACATGTTAAATCAGCTGTGTTACAGTTGATAAGAGAGAAGCAAACGAATGAGCAAGAGTTCTTGTTCTGTTTTTACATGTTTTCTTCTTAAACCGTCTAGGTCCTTTTGGTGTGAACCATGGGGTCGAGCTTCATTCGGATGTGATAGAGTATGCAAAGCAGAAACTGGACTTCTTCATTAGAACAAGTGATAGTTTTGACAAGTAAGATGAAATAATATCCATTGGGTCAGAGAATGTGAATTATAATTTTACAAACTTTTGATCAGATAGAAAGAAATCAGCTTATTAGTGTTCATGTGCCAGCAAACATGATTAAACTATGGTAGGATGGGCGGGGTGCAGTGGCTTACGCCTGTAATCCCAGCACTTTGGGAGGCTGAGACGGGTGGATCACCTGAGGTCTGGAGTTCGAGACCAGCCTGACCAACATGGAGAAACACCATCTCTATTAAAAAAAAAAAAAATTAGCTGGACGTGGTGGCACATACCTGTAATCCCGGCTACTCGGGAGGCTGAGGCAGGAGAATCACTTGAACCTAGGAGGCGGAGGTTGTGGTGAGCCAAGATCGTGCCATTGCACTTCAGCTTGGGCAACGAGCGAAACTCCATCTCAAAAAAAAAAAAGAAAAGAACAACAACAAAGAAAACCACTGTGGTAGGAGATGATGCCATGTGTCTGCTCTAACTTTTAAAAATATTCTGTGTTTTTGAGGGTTTTAGGTTTTTCTAAATGTTACACCTACATAAAAGTAATTTCTCACCAATATAAGAATAGAAGAAAACACAAAATGTTCATTTTGCTCAATTTTCATGTTTCCTCTTTAAGATAACTTTTTACCACCTCGTTTCTGAAATAAAATCGTTGCATTTGTCTCCAAACAGTATATGTAACTAGCTTTTGCCATTTTAAAATAAGGCATTACAGTTCTTATTTGAGGGATTAAAATTTTTAGAAACCCCAAATGCAGTTTCACCACCCCCACATCTCACTCATTGTGTGGTATTAATAGATCTTACACAAGATGATAAGAAGATGACAAAGACAGCGGTGACTAGAGATTGTGTTAAATTTGGGTAATACTTTTGATATTTACTTTCATACTATTTTGTTTGGCATTTCTAGAGTTCTAGATATAAAGTGAAATTCTTTTTGGAAGTAATTCTTGGATGTTTGTAATTCTTTTCTTCCAGCTCCCTGGCTCTGTAAACTGTGTTACATTGCTTTGGGATTTTAATCTGTGGTTAGCATAGATTTACTGTGTATACTTGTTACAATGTGATACCTTTAGTTGCAGGAAACATTTTGTACTTCCAGGTTTGACTTCTGTGAACCCTCCTTTGTTATTGGGAATTGCCTGGAGATTTCTCCGGATTGTTCTCAGTATGATCGTGTATACTGTGGGGCTGGTGTGCAGAAAGAGCATGAAGAGTACATGAAAAATCTTCTCAAAGTGGGAGGGATCCTTGTCATGCCACTGGAAGAGAAGGTCAGATTCCCTTCATAACTGACATTTTTGCACACTGTTTGCCAAGGTCTGTTCTGGGCAGTTTATGTATACTTACCCTTTTAAGAAATTCCTGCATTTCACAAATTAGTAACCAGAGGCAGGGACAGGTGAGGGAGCTTGGGAGGTCATACAGGTATCCTAGGTGGGGCCAGAACCTGAGTCAGGTACGTACTTCAGAGACTACACGTGAAACTCTTTTCTCCGTCTTCCTTCTCTTTCTTTTCCTTCTTCTATCTCTTCCCCCTCACCTCCCTCTTCTTTCCCCTTCTCCTTCCCCTCTTTCCCCCCAGCTGCTCTGAGTTTTAATTCTAACTGTTAATCTGTTATAATTGTTCTGTTACTAGAATTATATATAAAATTATTGGAATAAATGTATTCTCATTGTTAGTCTAATTGATAAATGCCTTGATGTTATGCATTGTACAGGAACCCTTTGCTTAGTGAGAGTCTTGTCCAGGTTTGCCGTTTGGTCATGCATGTTTGTCTGTGTTACTGTATTTCACTGGGTACAGACACGAGTTGGTCACCAAGAAGAATGCCTCTCAGTCATAAAGAACTAGGAAAAAAACCAATAAAAATTAGGAGTTTTTAATTGTTTTAATAAAAATTTGGAGATGGGATCTTTCTCTGTCATCTAGGCTGGAGCACACTGTAACCTCAAACTCCTGGGCTCAAGTGATCCTTCCGCCTCAGCGTCCCAAGTAGCTGGCACTACAGGCACATGCTGCCATGCCCCGCTAATTTTATTTTTTTAGTGACAGGTTCTCACTGTGTTGCCCAGGCTGATTGCAAACTCCTCGCTTCAGCAGTCCTTTCACGAGTTGTTGGCATGAGCCATCACACCTGGCAGAAGATTGTTTTAGATGTCTTTACTAATGCAAGTGATATGAGAAATCTTTGTTGCTATATAAAAATGCATTGGATTTTTTATTCGAATTGTATCATCTCGATTACTTTGAGGATTGCGGACATCTTTACAATGTTTCATCTGCTTATCTAGAATATGAAATAGGGGTTTATAGTTTCATTTAAGGTTTCATACATCATTTATTGATTATATTGAAATACTTGTTTTTCATTATAATTAGAAAGTCTACTTTTAAAAATGTTTAAATAAACACAAGTTTTGCTGATATACAAGAATGTTAGTTGATGTTTACCTAGTGCATAGCTACTTAGTCCTTTAAGTTATAAATTCATGACGTAGAATCTTAGTTTTTAGTGGATTTACTGACTTTGATATTTTTAGAAAAGACAAGCATGAAAGAATTGATGAAAAATAGTTCCGTGACCTGTGTAGGCCACTTGGAGACTGACCGAGCCACGTGGAGCACACAGAGGGTCGTGTCTAAGTGGGTTCTCTGGTGCTCCTAATACTTTAATTCAAAAGAAATGTTTGATGACCTACACTGCAGTATGTTAAGCCACCAGATCCCAGTGCTTTCGTGGGGGTGATGTCAGGGCAAGGCTCGTCCCCACATTCTCTGTGTGGTTGTTTCCTCTTGCTATCCTGTAACTAGTTTGTCTTTAATATCTATTTCCTATAAACAGAACTTAGGCCTAGGGCCTGAATATATTCAGATTTAGCATTTTTGCAGGCATATTCATAAGATAGATGTATTTCATGGCACATCTCATTAGGGGTCTGTATGTCAAAATACTTCATTTTATTGTAAGCATATCTATGTATTTTTATAGTATGTATAGGAATGATTATATTTAAATATGAGCTATATAGTAGCCAAATATTTTGAATATTCTCATTTTGTCTCTTGGATAGTTGACTAAGATAACACGCACCGGTCCTTCAGCTTGGGAAACCAAAAAGATACTGGCTGTTTCTTTTGCTCCTCTGATCCAGCCCTGCCATTCAGAGTCAGGAAAACCAAGACTTGTCCAGTTGCGTGAGTATACCAGTCGTCTACCAATCTACCAGTCTTTACTTATTTTATCTTTTAGATCTTTTTCATCTCATTAGATTTTAAAAGGAAACAAAATTTACAAAGAACCTTCTGATAGTAAACAGCACCACTCCCATGCTGAAACTTTAAAATTCTACAAGCAATTTCAGGCATTTAAAAAATTATAATCTATTTTTAGCCTATTTCAGGTTGTTTTAGCCATCTTTGAAATATACAAAGAGCTGTTGTTGGTCACGCCATTGAAAGCAAAGGACACACATAAAAGGGAGCTCATTTTGCCACATAGGGGACTTAGCCTATTTGCCACCTCCACTAGGAGAGGTTCTACAGAGAGAGCCATCAGCCAGAGAGTTCCTACAGAGTCAGGGGCTTCTGCTCCCCAGGGCTGCTTAGCGCCTGCTGCCTCGTGGGTAGATGAAGGGAACACATTGCAGCTAATCTACTAGAGTGTGGATAGGAGACTTTCTGTGGAAGCTTCCACAGCCAAGCCTTTGTGTTTCACTAGTTCAGGATGCAGACTGAGCAAGGAACCGATACCAGGGCCAGCATAACAGCAAAACGTCCTAATATTTTAAAATTTAAACAACTCACATGGAAGATGCTCTGATCATTTAGAAAATTTGGAAAATGCAAAAAATAATAGGAAGGAAAAAAGTTGTGCATAGTCCCACCCAGAGACAATAACATTTTGGCAAATCTCTTCCAGAAATGTTTTTTAATTTATTAGGAATCATTTATTAAATGATTACACTTTGTTTTGGTCTCTGCTAAGTACAGGTCCTAAGAAATAGACACGATTCTTGAAATTTGATAATGAGCAACAATAGGGTATGCAAAAGAGTTAGGGTAATTAGGGCAGGTTTGGCAGAGGGTGATGTATGTGCTTGGCCTTCGAGGGCAAAAAGGAATTCCCTAAACAGAAAAAAGGGGAGAAAAGTGTCAGCAACGGCAGGATAGAAGTCAAAGCGCGTGTTCCCCCGTGCAGTCAGGGTTGAGACAGGTGGTAGAAACTACTGGTATGTAGGTTAGAATTGGGCTTATCATGTAGGCTGGAGAAAGCTATCAGATACATTAAATAAAAGATGCAGTGCCTGTGTATCCTGGCTAAGCCTGGTGGTTGGGTGGAGGGTGAATCTGTCAAATGCGTGCTCTGAAAATCTCACCAGAATAACCTTTTTAAGTAAGTGCTGCTCTTGGTGGGGAGGGCACCAGCTTCAGAGCCTCAGCAGAGTGTGGGAAGGCAAGGACATCTTTGCGGTACTTATGAGAATTTTTTAGGGTCTGGTTGAAAATGAGTCTTTCCCTATGAGGGTTTCATGTGGCCTGATTAAGAATCATGACAATGTGGTGGGCACTTGGGATGCTTGTTTTGAGGAGATAGCTTTGAAGAGAGTGTTAGATGATCACCATTAATGTGATGCTTTTAGAGTTTCTTAAGTGACCCACCAAGTTATTTGCACGTTTTCTTTTCCTGGGCCAGAGTTTCCTAGACTAGTAAAGTCATGTTTGTGAAGACAGTGGAGTAGAAAACTCTGTGAGTGTAGACATACATGCTATGGGATGATGTGAGTGTAGATGGCGTGGGGTGGGGTGTGTAAGTTTAGACCTGCACGATACAGGGTCATGTGGCGTGGGGTCGTGTGAGTGTAGATGTGTGTGGCGTGAGGGGGTTAGGTTAGCTCTCTGATTGAATGGACACAGGACACATTGGAAGCAGGAACCAGTGGAAAGCTGTTGGAATTTTCCAGGCGAGAGATAAAGATGAAAACTAAGGCACTGGTTTCTACAGTGGAGAAGATTGAATGATACATACAATGATACAGTCCGTCTGAGGAAGGACATGTGAGCCTGAGGTGTTCATTGTCTGTTGTAGACCTGGGCCTGTGGGAGGCTCAGGATCCTGGTCAGGACTGGATTAGAACCTTGGGAGCTGTTGGCTGGCCTCTGTCATTTAAAACCACAGAATGGAGGTAAAACCAAGGACTAGCAGTCATACCTAGAAGGCGAAATGGTAGAAATTGGAACCTTAGGCGCACGACTAGGCTGGCTGGAAGAGGAAGAGCCTGCAAGAGAAAAGAGCTGTGGAGATCAGAGAGAGGGGCTGTGACTTGGGCCAGGGGAGCAGTGAGTGCCACGTGCCTTATCCCAAGCCGACACCTTGAGATCTAGGGATGCCAAAGCTGAAGACTGGGACTCTGAGGGCTTCAGAAGGAGTTGTTTTAGCCTCTGGGGCAACAGCCAGATCCCAGTATCTCTGGAAATCATCTTGATGTGAGATGATGAAGGAAGGAAGGACGACAGTACTTGAGGAAGGAGCTGGGGCACAGATGGGGCAAGAGGCATGATCGTGTGATTCAATGAAGAGACAAAGGAAGTGCCAGAGCATGTCCTGGAGAAAGGATAAGGGACCCCTTGCCCATGGAGTCAGAAAAGCAGGAAAGGTTGAAGGGAGAAGGTGCTACTTATTCAGGGCCAAGAGACCGGGACACAAACAAGCCTGTTTGAGGGCTTCCAAAGAACAATGATGATTGCTGAGATTCTGTGCAGGCCTCTCTGATTTTGGTAATAAATGTTGTACACAGGCCGGGCGTGGTGGCTCACGCCTATAATCCCAGTACTTTGGGAGGCCAAGGTGGGTGGATCACGAGGTCAAGAGATCAAGACCATCCTGGTCAACATGGTGAAACCCCGTCTCTACTAAAAATACAAACATTAGCTGGGCATGGTGGCGTGCGGCTGTAGTCCAGCTGCTCGGGAGGCTGAGGCAGGAGAATTGCTTGAGCCCAGGAGGCGGAGGTTGTGGTGAGCCAAGATCATGCCACTGCACTCCAGCCTGGTAACACGAGCGAAACTCCGTCTCAAAAAAAAAAAAAAAAAATGTTGTACACAACACAAGAGCGCTCTCTGTAGTGCAGACTGTTACTCTTTGGAGAAGTTAAGTCCTGTAGGGAAAAGCGATGCTGTTTTTCTGTTTAATGTAATTTCTCTCCCTTTGAGAAATACTGCCAGCATGAAATTGTGAGCTTCAATTGTCAAATCTTCCTCCTAAGAGTGCTTTGGTGTGTGTTTTTTTCTGAAAAAATGTTTGGATTTGCATTTTCCTACTTTACTAAAAAAGGAACAAATATTCAATTTGTAAATAACTATGAAAATACTAATAGATAAAAGAATGTTAGGCCAGGCATGGTGGCTTACCCCTGTAATCCCAGCACTTTGGGAGGCCCAGGCGGATGGATCACTGGACATCAGGAGTTTGAGAACAGCCTGGCCTGCATGGTGGCCTGTCCCTGTAGTCCCAGCTGCTGGGGAGGCTGATGCTGGGGGATCACTTGAACCCAGGAGATGGAGGTTCAAGTGAGTTGAGATTGTACCACTGCACCCCAGCTTGGGTGACAGAGTAAGACTGTGTCTCAAAAAAAAGAATGTTGGAGACATATTCACTCTATTACTAGTAGATGAGTATTAATATACACACGAACACAGCAACTAATAGTAATGAAACTAGGCTGTCATGAGAACAAACTGTAACCCAGGTTTTAATTCCAGCACTGATTAATATAGCCAAGCAATATTGCTTCCTTTTCCTTTCAAAGTTAAGGATTAAGTCATTTGAAAATATCTTTTGAAAAGTAGCAGTAAATTGGAGCACTAATTGACATTTGCTTAGCATTCTCTCATATTCTTAAAACATATTCGTAAATTTGCCAGTTAATTCAAATGATGTTACGGTTTTTAGATGTTTAGGTGTGGTGGTGTCACTCAGATGAGTCTGACTGTGTGTCATTCTTCTGTGCTGCAGCACCAGTGGCAGTTCGCAGCCTCCAGGACTTGGCTCGCATTGCCATCCGGGGCACCATTAAGAAGATTATTCATCAGGAAACTGTCAGCAAAAACGGAAACGGACTAAAGAACACCCCCAGGTTTAAGCGAAGGAGAGTTCGCCGCCGTCGAATGGAAACAATTGTCTTTTTGGACAAAGAAGTCTTTGCCAGTCGTATTTCCAACCCCTCAGATGACAACAGCTGTGAAGATTTGGAAGAGGAACGGAGGGAAGAAGAAGAGAAGACCCTGCCTGAAACAAAGCCAGACCCCCCAGTGAACTTCCTACGCCAGAAGGTCCTGAGCCTCCCTCTGCCAGATCCCCTGAAATACTACTTGCTTTATTACAGAGAAAAATAAGTCTCCGGTTTGAAAGGGGGAAATGAGGAAGAGCAGATTGCTGAGTTTGAAGCTTGTGCTGCCTGTGTGCGGTTGAAGAGTGACCTGGAAGCAGATGATGTGGGGAAGGGAACTGCTGGACTCATCCACGTCATGGTTTTTTTCTAGTTCCTGATAGACCTCTAAAATTTTGTTTAGTTGTATGATTTCTTTACATAATTCAACAAGACCTACGTTGCATAGAAGACTGCTTTCCCAAATTGGAGAGGATCTTCACAGAGAAAAAGATAAGGGTGTTTCTTTTTCAGCTATGATGAAACACTAGTAAGTGTGCATAAGAGGGACTGACGACCATTTCTGATACAACATGCACGTTACTCACTATAAATGAAAACTGAAGTAGAAACTAACCTGTGTTGCTTATAAAGTGTGAAAGCACAAGCTTATAAATGTATACAATCTTTCGTGGGTGTGACACACCTGTGTCCAAGTTTGAATTTTTATGATATGTGCCACTTATTTACTGGCACAGAGCATCACTGAACTTGTTAGTTTTCTAGTGGGGAAACATTATGGAGAAGCCCTCCCTTATTTTAAGTAACTTAATTAAATCTTATGTGAGTTGTCAGGTGTAATTTTTCAAAGGAAAATTTTTGATGGGGTGGAGGAATGAACAGCCAGGTAATCTTTCTGGAATTCCAGGAGAATTCCAAAGAGGGTTTTTTTTTTTTTTTTTTTTTTTTTTTTTTTTTTTTTTTTTTTTTTTTTTTTTTTTTTTTTTTTTTTTTTTTTTTTTTTTTTTNTTTGATATCTTTAAAAGAACCACTGTCAAGTAACCCTTAAAAGAATATCCTGGAAAATAAAGCAAGTTTTTTCCTGCGTGTGAGCAGTAAGCAAAGTTATATTTGCCCTAACTGTAGGGATGATTCTTTACTCAATTTTAGGTGTTGACACCCTCCATCCTAAGAACAGGTGGAAGTATTAGGAGTGCAAGAAATAGATTCGGGACTGTATTATGGACAGCCTATGCTTTTTGACTTCAGTTTGCTATTTTTCTGTGATCACATTGGAGTACTGATTCATAGATTCTATCTTTTATAAATCTAGAGAGAAAGAGATTTGTTAGTTTTGTAATTTTTCATAAGAACAAATGTATGTATTTTAGCAGCTGTGTTGCATGAGAACAGTGTAACTCACAGTAACTTGTGAAGTCGGCCGTCTCTGGGCCTTGTGTGTGGAGAGCTCTGTCCTACTAAGTGGTAGGGCTCAAAGAACAGCGGCCCTTTTGGTAGGCACGTGGGAGGATGATCAGAGTTACATTGCTTGTTCCAAAACATTGGTTCTTTTTAAAACTTTTTTTTTTTTTTACCCAAAGAAAAGAGTAGTATAAATTATTAACAGTAAACATAAATTCAGAGTGTTGATGTAGGATTAATTATCCAGATTTTATTTTTAATCTGAATCCTCAGCTTCTTGGGAGTCTCTGTGGTTTTGAGAGCTTAGCTGATCTTTTCTGTGTTTGTAAGTAACTGAGTCATTTTTACTGCACAATACAGTTTGCATGTATAGCTGGGAAAACGTGTATTCCTCTAGACGGGCCAACTTTAGCCATTTTAAAGAAAGTTAGTTCAGAGTTGTTTCCTTTTAACTCATTAGTCAAGCTTCATTCTTTCAGAGAGAGACGTGTGATTTACATTTACTTGCTAATGTTTTGTAGTTTTGACATCCTTGTGGGCATTATTCTAACTAATATGTAGACACATGGAAATTTTTGGACATAATATTAAATGAGTGTTATCTGTGAAATTTTTTAGGTGGCTTGACTAATTTTGTATATGGACTGCATTTTTTAAAAACCGCATTTGCCTTTATGCTAGATTGTAAATTCCCTCATATATTAGACATTTCCTAGCATTTCGTATTTATGTGTTGTCAGTTTGTGATTTTAAAACCAGAATTTGGTTTAAAAAATATGGTTGTAATATATGTGAGAAATAGTTTGGTGATAATCTTATGAAAATAAAGGATTGTAAGTAAGGTTTCCTGTGTACCTTATACCAGAAATTCAGTATCATATACTACTTTCTGTTTTCAAACAGAGAAATCATAATATAGTCTGTATTGTCTGTAAGATCTATATCGTAAACCACAATCTTGACAGCTATTTACTTTTGAGTAGTTTGTATTTTAATATGTGACTTTTGTTTTGAAAAGTAATAAAGCCATAGACTTGTGCAAAACAAATTTCAAGTTTAGAGATATTAAGTATGTAATGTAAGAATCAAATGTATATGTAAAAATACTTTTATCAGTCTGGAACTTGGGAAAAATCCAAGGAATCTGAAACATAGATTTTAATGAGCTGATGAACACAAATTACGTTAATAAAGGTAGTCAGGATATTTTATCCTTAGCATTGCTTCTGCACCCTGTGTGGGATTCAAATTCTTGAATATGTTCTTTTCAAAACCTTAGGAATGTCTTTTCTTTACTAACATGTATTTACTTTCAGCAAATATTTCTGTTATTGCTTGATTATGTAACATTCACAGATGTAGAGAAGGCATTATTTTTCATTAATAAATGTGGAATTGGAATGGACAAATGGAGAAATGGCTAGCTCCAAGTACATAAGAGAATAGGGCTTTGCAGATGGCGTGTAATGGTTTTGGCGTAATTTTCCCACATTCAGCTGTCTTAAGGAGCAAAAATATTTTTTTTGCTTGTTTTCAGTTATCCAGAGCACAAATGTTATTTAGATGTTGGAATCCTGGGATCAGTCTCCCAAAGAGCTTATATTTTCTTTTTTTTATTGTATGTGCTTCTGGGTACCGGCTGTACAGGAACTGCCAGGGTGTGTTGCTCACTTTCATCAGGGAGCAGGCTCAGTCCTGAAAATTCTAGAACCATGACTCAGCCAGCTGCATCATGTCCATTTTGGGAAAAATAAAATCTCTGGAGCTGACCTTTGACTGGGACTTGACCTCCCAAGAAGTGGCACCTATACAGTGGTTAGAGGTCTGGTCCAGCGGGAGGCTGAAGGCTCCTCCTCACCCGCTCCACTTCCACCTGTGGGGAGGTGCCGCTGCCCTCAGCATCCTTTGCCCACAGCACCCCCCAAACACTTCCCCCTCCCCTTTCTGGCCTTATCCCTGGTCTCTCTGAGAAGTGGGATATGCCCTCACCTCCTTAAAGGGCCAGCCTGGGCCCAGTGGACACAGGTGAGGCACCATCTTGTGCCACTCTGTGCCTTCTTGAGGCACCTTCACTAGAGATTAAAGGGACGCGATGGCTGTTCCAAAATGTGGGTAGCTGGAGGAGGAGCCAGGGGAGGTGTGAGAGGTGGGCTTTGGGTTAGCCCTGAGTTTTCTGGGCTCCAGTGACAGCAGGATGGAGGCTCAGGGTCAGCTCTGGGTACAATGGGGTGGAGAGTCAGGGAGAGCTTCGGGGAGGCTACCCCTGCCCCATCCCTCCTTGTCCACACACATTTGTTGTCTCCAAGTTCTGAAGTGCAGAGTCTGGAATGAAGCTGTTGGTGGGACTGTGCTCCCTCTGAAGGACCTAGGGAGGCTTCTGCTCCAGGCCTTTCTACAGCTTCTGATAGTTTCTTTGCTTATGATAGCAAAGCACCAGGCTTCACAAACCTTCCCTGTGCGTGTTTCTGTGTCCCAAGTTTCCCTTCAGTTAAGGACACAATCATATTCATGAATCAGGCATGAATGTTCTGATGGTTAATTTTTGACATTTGCTTGAGTGGATTAAGAGATACATAGCTGGTAAAGCACAATTTCAACATTTCTAGTCATTTGATTACAAGTTCTCAGGCATCCAAAATAAAATGACAGTTTCTAGGGCTTCTGTGGGAGAGTATGGAAGGTCTTTTTGAACTTTTTAACACTATCAACTAAAAAGAATGATGTGGTTCATAAATTTGGAAAGGAGAGATTTCTTTTTTATTAATTATTTTTTTGAGAAGGTGTTTAACTCTTGTTGCCCAGGCTGGAGTGCAATGGTGTGATGTTGGCTCACTGCAACCTCCACCTCCCAGGTTCAAGTGATTCTCCTGCCTCAGCCTCCCAATTAGCTGGGATTATAGACACCCACCACAACACCCAGCTAATTTTTTGTATTTTTAGTAGAGACAGGGTTTCACCATGTTGGCCAGACTGGTCTCAAACTCCTGAACTCAGGTGATTCACTTGCCTTGGCCTCCCAAATTGCTGGGATTACAGGCATGAGTCACTGCACCCAGTGAGAGATTTACTTCCTGTAAAGGGTTGCAGCCTGCAGGGTAGTCCTTCTAATAGGCTGGGAAGCCTAGACTCCAGCCAGAAGCCAGAAGCATACACTTCAAGGGAGAGATAAAGAAAACAGAAATTTATGCTGAGTGGAATGGCCAAATACAAATATTTAATAAACTCTAGGAGTAGTCATGAATATTTATGAAAGGAGAAATTGTGCAATCGCAGTTGAGTTTCTTCCTCATAGTTCCCATGTACAAAAAAATGGCAGTGTTACCATGATGACAGGGTAAGGGGTGAAGTTTTCAGCCTTCTGACATCAAAAGGTGAAGCAGAGGACATGAAAACTTGCTCTGTGCATCTACTATATACTGTCCAGACCCTCCCTGTCATGGGTGGCCTCTTATCAGGCAAGAAAGGAAAGGCAGCTTCAGGCAGATGGTTGATATCAGTGGTGGAGTCTTTTGAAGGGGCTGGTTTCTCTTAAATCCTTTGGTTAGGTGTCCAGATTTGTGTACATCTATAATTGGGCTGCTTTACTTGGTTTTAAGATAGTTTTGTATATTGAATACAAATTCTTTCTCAGATCTGTATTTTGCAGAGTTTCTTTCAATATGTGGCTTGTGTTTTTATTCCCTTAACAAGATCTTTTCCAGAGTATACACTTTTAATATTAAAAAAAATCCATCTAATTTTTTGGTGTGTATTGACAGTTTGTGTTGTTTGTTAAAATTCATCACCGAACCCAAGAGCAGATAGATTTTATTCTATGTTCTCTTCTAGAAATTGTATCGTTTTGCATTTTTAGTGTAATTATGATTCTGAATGGTTATTTGTATAAGTTGCAAGGTTGTCATCTAGATTCATTTTATTTCCTATGGTTTCCAATGAATTGTTCTTTCACTTATTTTGGGAAAGACACAAGATAGTGGGCTCTGTTAGTCAGTAGATAGCTAGACATGAACATGATGGGAAGGCTCATCTGGAGGGACCATCAAAAATTTATATATTAGTAGCATCTCTAATGCTGGAGTGGATGGGCGCTTGTCAGTTGTGGGTAGGAGGAAGAAGAGGTACCTATGCAGAGAGAAACACCCTAGAACTCATCTTAGGATGCCCCAATCATCATTCACTCTACAGTTAAAATGTCAGAAAATTGCTAGCTACATGCTGACAAGAAGGACAAAGGGGACATTTTTAAGAGAAACACGGGGAGGATTTCTCTTCTCAGATTAGGGCAGGGAAGGGCACCCGAAAGAGATAGGGAGGCACAGGAGGTACAGACGTGACTGCTGTAGGGCCTTCCTGGGAGGCGGGAAGGAGCCAGCCACCACAGTGGATTTAGATTGATCACCACACATGTGCCTTAACCAACAGTAAGGAGGCCCCACAAGCCAAAGAGAGGCAAGTTGGGGACCTAAGGTAGGAGCAGAAAAACCAGACAAAACGGGGAGAGTTGAGACAGAGGCAGCAGGGGGCATGCCTCCACTACACTGTGCACAAGATGGCCCCGCAGTGTCCC